TTATATCAATACTCAATCTTTATTATATGTTCTTTTTTATTACTTCTTATTCATGCATTCATCATCAGGCTTACTATTATTATCATTATTACCCACACAAATGAATTTATTAGTGAGGACACACCATCATTTTATCATACTATTATTATTGAGCCATATTTCTCTTATCGTTAGCCATTTAAAACATCTTATAGATCGTTTCAAATGAGCTATTACGAAGTTCGCTTACTTTCATATGTTTTCTTCGTTATCCTTCGCTATTGTATCCTTCTCTTGTCTTTTTGTTGAGATAGTCTATTTTTCGTTTTTTTTTTTTCTTTACCCAATTGCATTCAGTTAATATTTCTTGTGATATCTTTTGTTCATTTCTCTTTTATGTAGGATATCTTAAGGATTTTCTTATCTATTTGTTTTGTTCCCATAGTTTGTTCTTCCTAATTTACACATATCCATTCTACATGTCTTTAGTGTTGTGTTAATTTGTGATATGCACAGGAAAGGGGATTTAAAAAGGGTTGCTCATATCGCGCTTGCTGAGCTGAAGAAAGTAGGAGGGAGTGGGACCTTCAGCAATATCAAGAAAATGGATGCAACGAAGAGAGGCAAATTTCAGCCTATGTTTCTTGTAGGGCCAGACTAGCTCATGCCCTGACCAGTGCCCAATGATGGTGCACCTTGGGCATCCCAGTGACCGCCATTCGTCAGTTCCATTGATGCCTCTTTCCAGTGATGCCTCCTTGGCCCTTCAATGGTGCCCCATTGGTAATTCCAGGGTGCCCCTTGGGCCCTATTAAAGCAATTTTATTGGTGTCCTCTCAGCGTCCCAATGGTGCCTCCTTGACCCCTGGCCCCTCCAGTGGTGGCCATTGGCCCTTAACTTGTGCAATGCTAAAGTTCCCTTGCCGAACCAAACAGATGCATCCCCCTTCCTTGTTTAATGGCTATACTGGTTTAAAATGTTTAAAAGCTTTTCGGAGAATAAACCAGATTCTGTTCTTTTCCTACTGAGGCCATTTTCCTTCACTACGTTCTTATGCTTTCTTGAGTGTTCACAGTGAAAAGGCAATAGTGGCGCATTATTTTTATCTGCGATGATATGACGTTTTATTTTTTTTTTTCTATTTTAGTATTGTTATGTTCACTGACTTTATCGTTATATTATATCTGAAGGAAGGAAGGGAGGGAAAGAGACAGAGTAGAGAATAATATAGATAGGAGAAGAGAAGAAAGGATATAGGAGACGGCAGAGAGAATGAATAGGGAGGGAGAAGAAAGAGACCAAGGTACGAGGATGAGAAAATTGAAAGACGGGAGATGGGAGAGGTTACAGGGATAAGGAACAGGAGGAAATGACAGAGAGAGAGAGAGAGAGAGATGAGAGAGAGAGAGAGGAGAGAGAGAAGGAGAAAGAGAGAGAGAGAAGGATAGAGGAAGGACGAGGAGTTGAGAGAGAGGAGAGAGAGGAGAGGGAGGTAGATGAATAAGAGATAAGAGATAGAATAGAGAGAGAGAGAGAGAGATGAGAGAGAGAGAGAGAGAGAGAGAGAGAGAGAGAAGAGAGAGAAGAGAGAAGAGAGAGAGAGAGAGAGAGAGAAGGACAAGGTGAGGAAAGATAGATAGATAAGATAGATAGAAGAAGAGAGAGAGAGAGAGAGAGAGAAGAGAGAGAGAGAGAGAGAGAAGAGAGAGAAGAAGAGAGAGAGAGAGAGATAGGGAGGAAGAGAACGGAGAGAGAGAGGGAGGGGACGGGAATGAGGGGACGGGAACTGCGCAATGAAAAGCAACCAAGATCACACAAAGCATTGGAATCCGGTGAAGATGCCTTGCCAGGGATTAACTTACCAGGATATTAGTGATGATTGTTGACGTATTGATAATGATGATGATGACGATATCTGTAATAACAAGAACGATATTAATATGAGAAGAAATTAATGATTATAGGATAATAATGACTATTATGATATGAATTATGATACCGATAAGGATGAAGATTATGATAATTGTAAATAAGGGGTAAAATGATAATGATGATGAGAATAGTGATAGTGATGAATGAGAATAATGATAATGATGATAAATAGTAATAATAACAATAAATATATAATAAGTAATAGTAATAATGATAACGATAATAAACAATAATGATGGTAAGGAGAATAATATCATTAATGATAGTAATAATGATAATGATAATATTTACAGTAGTAATTATAATAAGGATAACAATGATAATAATACTAATACTACTACTAATACTGCTGATAGTGATAGTAATTATAATAATGATAATGATAACAGAAATAATGATAAAAGATAATAGTAACGATAATATAATAATAATAATAATAATAATTAATAATAACTATATAATAATATATATATGATAATAATAATAATAATAATAATAATAATAAAATAATAATAACAATAATAATAGTAATAACTAGAAACACTGAGAGAGCGCATACCTCCGCCAAGGCCAAGGTCACTGACGCAATAAAAATATTCACACACGAAGAATTACATCAAAATCGCCTCTCTCTCAAGTACACAGATGGCGTCCGTAAAGGTGTAACTATGCAATTATTTTCAAAAATCCTAGATCCGGATCATAATTCGAATCGCCACCACCATTTAAAATGAGATGGCATAAGAATCTGTTTATGAGTTTTTGAGTTATATTGCCAACCAACAAGTTAAACCACAAACAAGTAAATTGACTAACCAGCGCTACCGAAAACATAACCTTTTTGGCGGAGGTAATAATGATGATGATAATGATAATGATAATAGTAAGAATAGTAGCAGTATTAGTAATAATAATAACAATAATAATGATGACGATAATGATAATAGTAAGAATAGTAACAGTATTAGTAGTATTAGTAATAATAATAACAATAATAAATGACATGAGTAAGAATAGTAAAGTAATTAGTAGTATAGTAACATGATAATAGTTAGTAGTATTAGTAGTATTAGTAATAATAATAACAATAATAATAATGATGATAATGATAATAGTAAGAATGGTAGCAGTATTATTAGTATTGGTAATGATAATAACAATAATAATGGTGATGGTAATGATAATAGTAAGAATAGTAGCAGTATTAGTAGTATTAGTAATAATAACAATAATAATAATGATGATAATGATAATAGTAAGAATAGTAGCAGTATTAGTAGTATTAGTAATAATAATAACAATAATAATGATGATGATAATGATAATAGTAAGAATAGTAGCAGTATTATTATTAGTAGTAATAATAATAACAATAATAATGATGATAATAATAGTAGTAAGAACAGTAGTTGCAGCAGCAGTAGTAATAGTAATAATAATGATAATGATAGTAATGATAATAATGACAACGGTAACAATAATAACTATAATAACAATATAATGATAATAATAACAACGATAGTAACAATAACTCTAATAATAATAATAAAACCCCCTCCTGCGCCTTCCCCAGGACATGTTCAACGAAGCCTCGAGACGCCTCTTCGCCGCCACGCGAGGAAGAGCCTACTTCCGCAGCGTCAAGATCCTCATCCCGAAGTCCTGGTCCTTCACTGCCGTCAACGACACGGCACTCAGCGAGAACTTCGAGGTGAGAGAAGGGGGGGGAGGGGGAGGGGGGATAAGGGGTGAAGCGGAGGGAGGAACGGAAGCGGAGGGAAGGATGCAGGAGGGAGTGATGATGGAGGGAGTGATAAAGGAGGGAATGATGAAGGATGGGATAATAAAGGAGGGAGCAATAAAGGAGGGAATACGATAAAGGAGGAAATGATGAAGGAGGGGGCGATGAATGAGGGAATAATAAATGAGGGAAGGATGAATGAGGGAATGATAAAGAAGGGAATGATAAAGGAAGGAACGATGAATGAGGGAATGATAAAGGAGATAGATAGAGTGAGAATAAGAAGAAGGAGAAAGAG